TTTTTTTTTTTTTTTTTTTTTTTTTTTTCTGTTTCAAGCTTTCATTATCTCTTGTTTGCTAGTCATCATAAAACTCCCCTTTTGCTCTATAGAAGACTGATTTGAAATGTAGTGAATTTATGATGACTTTTGAGAGTTCAAACAAAACCCTCTTTTTCTATAATGACCTAATAAATTCTTTCGTACATTCAATACATTATTACACTGTACTAAGCACAATGAAAATTAGATAAACACTTTTAATTTACTAGAAAAATAGTCATGTCAAAGGTACCTATACATTGTGTAGCATTATTTATTGTCTCTACAACCATACTAAATTTCTTTTGTGAAGATATATTACTCATACGGAGTTTGTGTGTTGGATTTAAAACTACTCAAGGGTACTGGAGAAACTTTGTGAAAACACTGTTTTGGATTCTGGTTCTCATTTTATACTCCTCTTGCTTGCTGAGGAAAGAGGAAACAAGAAATCCTTTTGTCTGCTCATCTCTTGTTTGAAACTTGAATAGATTAGATTAGGTACCCGAGGAGAATAATTACTAGCCAAAAGAACTCTTGGGTAGTTACTAACTTTTCATGTGGTGCTTTGTGATTTCGGAAATTATAAAAACACATGAGTATGTGTTAATGGGTTGGTTGGGTTAATAGATCTTTTATTTTATTTTTTGTAATCCAACAATGGGGTTGCGACGTTGCTTACCCCGATAAATCGTGGAGGCTGGATACTTTAATAAGATGTGTTTATTTGTTCCTATTGGTTATGCATGGTGTTTATGAAGAAAAATCTTATACTTCACGGGGAATGATAGATCTTGTATCTGATCTTTTCTCTGGGATGTAGTAACTGATCAATTAGTTTGATCAATTGGTGGGGGCTTATACTCTGATGAACACCTTGAATGACGTTATTCTGAATTGTCACGACATTGTTTAACCAGTAACTAGCGGAGCAAAAGAGTAAAAATTCACAAAATCTGATCCTTCATCTTATTGGCTGGTCTTTTCTCAGAACCACCATGAAACAGGAGTTGTTAAGTATGATGTTAAAAGCCAGGACGAATGCAATTGGGGAAGATTGCATCACTCTCCCATTCCCTGCCAGTGAATGTAGTAGACAAGGAAAGAGTTTAACCTCAAAATTCAAAGGTGTTGTGCTTCAGCAGAATGGCCACTGGGGTGCTCAAATTTATGCTAATCACCATCGTATTTGGCTCGGAACATTCAAGTCGGAAGACGAGGCAGCCATGGCTTATGATAGTGCAGCTATCAGAATCAGGAGTGGAGATTGTCATAGAAACTTTCCTTGGACCAAATTCACAATTGAAGAGCCTAACTTCCAGAATCTTTACACTACAGAAGCTTTGCTTAGTATGTTAAAAGACGGTTCTTACAGAACTAAATTTGCTGAGTATTTGAGGGATTGTTTGGAAAGCGTACAAACAGCTAGTCCCTCTGCAGAAAAGCTACATGACAATGGACGGACATCTATTAAGCAACTTTTTCAAAAGGAGCTAACACCGAGCGATGTTGGTAAGTTAAATAGATTGGTCATCCCAAAGAAATACGCTGTTAAATACTTCCCTCAAATACCAGCTAGCACGATAGATAACGTGAAACGTGTTGATGATGATTGTGATGTGCAGCTAGTATTTTTTGACAAAATGATGAGACAATGGAAATTTCGATACTGTTACTGGAAAAGCAGCCAGAGCTACGTTTTTACGCGAGGTTGGAATCGGTTTGTGAAAGAAAAACAACTGAAAGCTAATGACACAATAGCTTTCTACTTGTGTGAAGCAGCAAAGGCAAGCGATGCTAACACTACATTCTGTGTGGTGGATGTTAAAAACCGCAACAGCTATAGCTTGACTGAGAATGAAATCACAAGCAGCGAAATGCAGCTAGATTTGAGTCGTGAAGAAGTTAATGGACCGGTGTCGCCTAAGCATGTCGACGATGAACTAAAAGATGATCTTGAAGTCTCAGGCTTCAAACTGTTTGGAGTGCATATTAAGGGAAAGTAAGTTTTGCCATTCCTTTCCCATTTCAATTAGTTTGGCACTGATTAAACCACATGCCTTAAGAAAAAGGTTCATTGGGAAATTCTTTTTGGAACCATGCTTAAATGCTCAGACTATTGATGCTCTACTCTAGTATTATACCCACCATTAGGAGAAACTGTTCTTAGTGATCAACGTTCCTATTGATCTTTTATGTAATAACAAACACGGAGGTGTAGAGGTTAACCTCCAACTCCAAGGGAAAGAATAGATGCAGACGTCTCCCACTTAGCACATTGACTTACCTCGAGACTTTTAAGTATACTGTTCTGGTACATCAAAATTCTATTTAAAAAAGGGGTAACAAAAAAAAAAACTTCACCCCACTTTTTGGGCAGGTTCGCGGGTCAATGTTTTTCCCTGCCCCGATCGGCAGCAACTGGGTTTCCCGGGCTGATTTGATTGGATAGCCTGTTTAGTTCAAAATTTGCAGGCAATGATTATTCTTGGGTTGTAGCAATTGAACAAGCATTCAACAAGTTTCTGATACCCTGTCAAATTCAAGTAAGAAGTGTACATTATATTTGTGCATACACACACGTTCAGATTATTCTCCACTTGTTAGGAGGCTTCGTAGCCACCAAACAGAGACACTCACCAAATTCCAGTAATCAATGCCTGATGTTCTTTGGTTTATATTACCTCATTGTCTCTCTCTGTCTCTCTGAATGCACTACAGAGAATTCATTTTATGAAGCAGAAACTCCAAAAAGCAGCATGGCTCCACTGGCTGCTTGCCTTATTGGTAGGTGGACAATAAAGTAAGCTTATCATGATTGATTTCATGTTTGTTTGTTTAGTTGTATGATTCTTTTGTTATTCAAACCACCTCCCCCATATAACTGCGCCATAGTCTTCTTCATCAAGTTAATACATCTAGCAATCATAAATTCCTTTTTCCTCTAATTGAGTTTATCGTAATGCAAGCAGGAGACTTCAAGGGAGTGCTAAACGAAGTCTACGTTCATGTTCATGCCAATTTGAACCAAACTCAACCGGTTAAGGTACATATTTTCAACCGAAAGGTCAATTATTCGAAAAATCTTGTTGTTTCGATTCTCGAGACTAAAGAAAACGACAAACTCCATTTGGAAAGAGAAGAAGAGGATATGAGATGACACTAGTGGTGGGTCCTTAGAAAAGTTAGAAAAATGGGTAATATAAATCCAATGGAGGAGAGGAGGATGGAGTGGCTGATAAAGTGAGTTGGGATTCCAATGCCAAGAGAGAGAGAGAAGAGATGTGCAGCCTCAAATTCCCTCAAAAGGGCCGTTGGGTGAATCCTTTGTGTGGCTGATAATAATAAATGTTGTGTTGATTCTTTCATAAAATGCAGACAATCAAGAGGAAAAGGCCAAACAACCCCATGTGAACCCTCTTAGGCCCAAACCATATCCCTTCGATTTTAATTCTCCCAAAATTCGAATTTGATCCCTTTTGATTCTCCTCAGTCCTCACATGATTATTATTATTTTATTTATTTTTATAAAAAATGAAGCCATTGATGCATCTATATATATATATATATATATATATATATATATAGATAGAGGTTATAAGGTGGGAGTTGAAATTAAAAGTTTGGAATGAAATTTCATTTTCAGAGGGATTGAAATAATTGGTGTGAAGGAATGGAGATGATGAATTGAGCCCACATGCTAAAGCTTAGGAGGGGATTGGAGCAGAAATCAAATACCTTTACAACTCATAAATTTAATAAATTATAAATATTAGGATATGTTTTGGGAGTGATTTTAAAATAATTTTTTAGTCAAAAAATATTTTGATTATAATTATTTTATCTTACTTTAATGTTGGGTTATACTTTTCGATATATATTATTGGATCTATAAAAAGTGACTTTCATGCAAATGAGATGGGAATAATTATCTTTTTAACTCATTAAAGTGAATATTTTGAAGGAAAAAAGGGATTATTGAGTAAAAGAAAAAAGTATCTTTTACGAAATAGGAAATATTTGGTAAGATAACAAAATAGGGAAAATTTATTTCTAAAAATAGTTAAAAAAAGTAACTAATTGGATAAGATTAATTTCTGGACAAAGGAAATTGATGTGGAAAATTTATAATTTAAAATTCTTAATCTTAATCTATACAAATACATTATACAAAATAAGAATCAAAATGAATGTGACAGTTAACCTTAAAAAATTAGAAGATACACTTACATTAAAGATTAAGATCGTTGTTATCATTTATTTTATTATTTCATCACAAAATAATTTATTCATCAATTTTCGTTTTATTTTAACATTAAATTCTTCAAAATGGTTTTTTATATTATTATAAGAATATTAAAAGTGAAACTTTTCCAAATTTATGAGCTTAAATGAAACTTACGTAGAGAAATTAAGTGCAAAATAACTGAGAAAGGGAAGGAATCCAAACATTTCCTTCGAAAGAGAGTGATGAGGACATTGTCTTGTTATGCTTCGTAAAAAGCAGAGGCACTGATTGTTTCATTCATTTCTTTTGTTTGGAAGTGCAAATAATTGTTCATTGCGGTTTTTGTTGGGAAGGGGAAAAAGGGCCCAAAATTAGGGAGAATTTTGGTGAAGGATTACAACAATTATATGCACATTACATGATCTGATCATCACTGACCACTTTTTTTTAACTCAAATTCCGAACTAAATCGAACAACTAACAACCACGTTAAATCTAGAAAGTAAGAACTACGAAGAATAATCTTAATTCTTCCTGAATCTCAAGCCGGCATGGAGTTCTCCGTCGGTGATGTCCAGACAATGTCTTTGAGTGCCGGCCGGAGCTCTTTGCTGCAGAATTGGTTGTATTCGAGGGTGTCGCCATGATCCTTCTTCACCTCCACCACCAGAAACGACGGCGTCAAGGCGAAGATCTCCGCAGCCACCGCCAGTTTCCCTTTTCTTCCGCACTCCTGGCCCTGTAGTCTGACTCTCGATTCGCTCTTTTTGACGCTGAATTTCCCCGCTTTCGCGACCTCCTCCAGCTTCGATATCACACTGCTTGCCGGCCTCGTCGTCGCAAATCTCAGCTCCTCTTTTTCTTCCCTCTTCTTCTCCTCGAACAACGGCGACAAATCGAACCCTTCTGATAACGAAATTATGTGGAATGCATTCAGAGTCTCAGATTGCTTTAGTTTCTCGGTGCTCTCGTCGAATTCCTGCTCCTCTTTCGTTTTCACAGTTCTTGGTACAGATTTCCTGAACCAGGACGACTCCATGATCTTCGAAGTTGTAATTCTGGTATTCGGATTTGGATCGAGGAGTTTGGTGATTAGTCGACGGGCATCCGATGAGAACCACGGCGGGCATTTGAAGTCTCCCTTGTAAATCTTCCTGTACATGGCCATAATATTGTCGTCCTGAAATGGGAGAAATCCTGCGAGAAGAACGTAAAGGATGACTCCACATGACCACAGATCGGCTTTGGCGCCGTTGTATCCGTTCTTCCCGATAACCTCCGGCGCAACGTAGGCTGGCGTACCACAAGTTGTGTGCAACAATCCATCCTGTTTCAAGTGCTCTGAAAATGCGCTGAGTCCAAAATCAGTTACCTTAAGATTTCCGTCGTCGTCGAGAAGAAGATTCTCCGGTTTGAGGTCGCGATGGTAAACCCCCCGACTGTGGCAGAAATCGATCGCAGAAATCAGCTGCTGAAAGTAAACTCTAGCCACATCCTCTCTCAATCGACCTCTAGCAATTTTGGAAAACAGTTCCCCGCCTCGAACAAGCTCCATAGCGAAATAGATCTTCGATTTGCTCGCCATAACCTCATGAAGCTCGACAATATTCGGATGCTTCACCATCTTCATCACAGAGATCTCTCTCTTGATCTGCTCCATCATACCTACTTTTATGACCTTCTCCTTCCCAACAACCTTCATCGCCATGTTCGTCCCAGTCTGCAAGTTCCGGGCATGGTAAACCTTAGCAAAAGTTCCATGCCCTAGAAGCCGACCTAACTCATACTTCCCATGGAGCACACCAGAATGACCGTCTCTGTCCTTCTCCGCCATGGATTCGATCTTTTCTCAAAGATTAAAACACAAAAGTACTGGTATATACAAACGATTCTTTCTCGCCTTGTTTTTCTTAGCTTACTTAATTAAAGCGTAGGGATCTGAAGAGGAAGAGAAAGGGGGAAAATGGATCACCCGTCTTCGACGTGTTTCCGGTGACAATTCCGGCCGCGGATGCACTTGCCTGCTCGACCATTAGAGATGAAACTCGTCAACAGCGCTCCTCTCATCTCTCTGCATTCCCTAAGAGGGCGCCTTCTCTGCAACCTCTCTCCCACTGAAATCTCTCCTCTAGGGTTTCCAAGGACCTCCGATTATCAGCGGATGTTCGCTCCTTCGTCCCCTTGATTCTCTGCATTTTCTTCCCCATTTTATAGCGACGGGAATTACGAAATTACCTTTTTGACACCTGATACCAAAGAAATGATCGGACGGTCGTTATTAGACCTTGATGGTTAGCAGGTGTCAGAATCGTGGCGGTAGATTCTGCTATTTGCCGTTCTGACGTCATGGCTCTTTCAACGGCACCATTGGGAAGCTAAATGGGCCACACATGTGGGCCTCCACGGTCAGGGCCCACGCTTTAAAACCGCCCATCGGATTATGTATAGTTACGAGTCTACCCCTCTTCCGGTTTTCTCCAAAGTTCAATTTTATTACGCAACATTTACGGTTTATAAATAAATTTAATTTCAATCCTTTTATTAAATTTCATTAAATCCAAATAATATATATATATATATATATATATATATATATATATATATTTTTTTAATTTAAATATTTATATAAATGAAGGAAAAATAAGTTAAATGTATATTTTAAAAGCTGTTACATTGTTTTGGTAAGGCATTAAATAGGTATCTATTTATGAAAATACACGTAGACTTTGGTGTCGTGTACGCAATATTGCATGATTAACTATGGGCATTAACTTTTCTATTTAATTATTACTTTTCACAATATTCTTATTTTATATGAATATGGAAATCATATTTAAATATAGAAATTGCCTTTTAATTGTCTATCCTAATATTTTAATCATATAATTTTATTTTCTATTTTGATTAATCATTTTACTCAAAATTATATTTAATTCATTAACTACGTAACTAAATGTATTTTTTAATTTTTAAAAAAGTTTAAGATATTAATCAAACTTTTGAAAATTTATTTAAAATTTAGTAATTTTAAATAAGGTTTTTGATTATTTCTATTAAAAACTAAAATACATATATATATATATATTTTATTTTAAGTTTAAGTGTATTATTAAATTTTTGTTCGATATTTTTATTCATTTGACCTAAAATATAAATATAACCTAATAACACTCATTTTTAATAAAATATTTACTTTTGTTTTTAAAATTTGAGAATAATAAAAATATTAAATAAATTAAAATTTATCAAACACACAATTTAAAAATTTACCATCTATTAAATACAAAATTCATTTAAAAAAATTTATATTAAAATTTGCCTTTAAATTATTATTATTATCATGACCAATGACATGGGGACGCATGCATGACGTGGATTTTGTTGATTTGTGTGTCGGTATGCGGTAAATTGGTTAAACTAGTTGGTCTTCAAAATCTGTTTTTTTTTTTTTTTTTTTTCTCATAGTAAAATTTTAATCTTCTCCATTGTATTTATTTTATTTTATAAAAAAATAGAATAAAATTTGAAGTTTATAAATTAAATAAGATAAATTTTATATAAGTTATATAATTTTTTTATCCGAAATAACCAATAAATATTAAAATACGTAAGCGTTTTTTCTTAAAAGCAAAATTAAAAGAGAATTAAATAGAAAGAGTTTAGTTAATTAATTTTATTGAAACATTATAATTTCTTCTTATTTATCATATGTCTTAAATTGACAGAATAATTTGATTAAATAAAGATATTAATATTTATGAAAAAAGAGAGAATTTTTCTGAAGAGATTAAATATTGAACACGAACTATTATTAATAATATGATTAAAAAATATATTAAATATATTAAATTTTTCGTGAGAAGAGAATAACGATAAGAAATCGTTCACCTAATTTATGAAAAGGATGGATATAATTGTAATTTCATATTTTTTTATTTATATGTGAGCAATAAATAAATTAAATTATCTAATATGGAATTTTCAATGCAAATCATAAATAAAAAAATAATAATAAACATTTTATTCACCTATAAATTATAATTATCAAAATTTTCACGTCTAATTTAGATATAATATCGATTTATTCATGTATTCGTCGGCATCCATTTATTTTTATATATAATTTATTATTATTATTATATAAAATCAAAATTAAAAAAAAAACAGAAATAATTGACTCTGCATTCATAAATTAAATAAATTCCGGAAGATTCTTCCTGTCTGGTCCAAATTTAAAATCTCAAAAAAATGTATTATTTATATTTTAAAATATATATTTTTTTAATTTAGTTCTATAATTGCTCTAATCAAACACTTTTCAATTTTAAAATTTTTATAGTTGAAAAAAGAAAATATATTTTATTAATATAAGTAGTAATTATATTTCATGATTATCCTCGTTCAACCGTAGTCTCAGTTCCTTCGTTTATCTTTTTTTTATTCATGCGTCTCAAAAAGAAAAAGAAAACGACAATTTTAACCATTCTTATAGGTAAGAGGTTTGTTAAATTATATATGAACGTAACATAGCTTAGCTGATTAAAATATATATATTTTTTTTATCAATAAGTTAATAATTAAAATTCCCGATTACTTGGATCCAAATTTATTAGAGACAAAAGTTGATATCGTTCCTGTAAAGATAAGATTTGTTTCTCTCAAATACTAAAATTCTATTCTTAAACAAATACGCCGTTTGTCTCATCTGGTCTGTATTAATTTTTTATTTTAAAATAATATCTTTTTAGCTTTTTAGTACTTGATATCTTTTTTAAAAAAAAACCAATACTTTGTCAAAATAATTAAGAGGAATAAGTATTAAAAAATTATTCATAATTATCAATATTTCTAAAATATAAATACAAGGGAGATTAATAAGTAATTAAATTAGTGGAGTCCCGACCGGCTGTTCATCATGTGAAAAGATTCTCCTGCCAAAATGTTTTTTTTTAATATTTTTTTATTCAAATATAAAATTTAATCATAAATTTCAAAAAGAAGAATATGAAATTATAATAAAGTTTTGAAAATGAAATACTTGGTAGCTTACCTACTAATTGCATTATTATGCCCATAATTAATTTTAAAAAATTGTTATATAAGATAAAATTAAGCTCTAATTAATCACATTTTGAATATGGTATTCAACTAAATTAAATATTTAAAATGGTTAAAAATTAAAAATACCTGAAATTGAGTTTGGTCAAATTTTTTATTAAAAAAATATTTAAATAATTTGAATTTGATTTAAATTTTTAATTTTTTTATATAAACGTTATATATTATAACCAACCGTCTCCAAAATTACAACAAAGACAAACGAATATTATATTATATGGGAGAATATTCGTAAGAATCTTAATTTTAATAATAAATTAGATCTAATTGTTACGTTAAAATATAAAAACATGCACATGTTCATGCCTATATTGATTTTTGTTCTTTTTCTTTTACTTTCTTTTTATTAAAAAAAACATATTTATCAATTCACCTCTTGTATTAACATCGAAGGTATAAACATGAAAATATCGACCTATCGACAAAATATAGGGAGAATATTTTATTAACAATATTAAGATTTTGTAATGAGGTCGATGTCGCGTTCATAATAAATGTATAAGCAAAACTTCCCGTTCTCAATATCTTCTAGTATTGGCCACAAATACTTTATCTAAGTCTTTAATTTCGTTGGAACATCGGTTCAAATAACCTTATATGCTATGAAAATGATGTTTTTAAACAATTGTAACAACTGAAGCCCACCGCTAGCAGATATTGTCTTATTTAAGCTTTCTCTTTCACTTCTCTCACTAATGTGGGATCTCATAGTGTAGGGACAGTCTCTACTCTTTACTACATTTCAAGATAAGTAAGGAACGGGACCCTATCATAGGCTATATCTTGATTCGAATCTTAGATATGGAGCGGTACGTAAGCAAAAATCTTCACTCTTAACAACATTTCAAGGCAAATAGAGAACGTTACCATGTTGCAAGTGTGACGAAAAAGAAAGAAAAGCGCTTCCGGCCCAGGGATGTCCCCACACGGAGAGTTTGCTCCCCCCCCCCCCAAGTATGTTTGCCATATATCGGGGTGGTTGGCTGTGGAGCCTGATGCAAGCCGACTTTTTTTCCGTTCATGGAACATCCGGAATTGCCAAATCTCTCTTTTGCGCTCGAGAGAGAACCCGAAGATAGACTTGTTCTTATGGCTCTCAAATCGCTCTTGAATGAGAAACTCCATTATGTTTTTCTTCCTTGTTCTTTTGCGTTCTAACAACATTCTGCAATTTTCTTTATTTCCATTCAGAGGGTAAGAAGTTTCATAAACGGGTCTTTTTCGATGTTGGAGAATACCGAACTCATCAGGTGCTGAATCCAAATTCAAATTCTGGGTATTAAGCATTGCACGTTAAATACTAGAATTAAACCATAATCGCTTATCATACAAACAAACGTACATTTAAATCAAACAATAACTCGAGAATCATTCATTAGGGTTTGATCGGAAGCCAATTGGAATGGTTGAAAGCTACACATCTCTACTAAAAAGGACACCTAATTGATGAAGTTAAGAATGTTCAAACTTCAAATGACAAGTGGATGGACAACACTTTTGACAAAGACATCAGACAAAAATATTCCATCTTTTTTAATGATACACTGTCTTGTCCTAAAGATAAGTTATCAACATAGTTTAGCCACTCATTTCAACTTTAGCTAGGAAATCTCAAACCACAAGCAAACTACATAACCGGCATAATAATTAATCATATCGACGTAAATCACGTCAAGTCTCGAACGGTAATTTATTGAAATTGAATTTGATTTAAGTAAGTCGATAACTTTTGTTATGAAGTTAGTTCTGATATTCTTTTTAGCACGTGAATGGATCTGATTATATCGACCGAACTACTGCGATGCACGAATTTAACTCGAAACCCATGTGGAAATTCACTTGTTTTTGGGTTGTGTTGGCAATGGAATGAATAAAAGTTTGTGCTTTTAGTGCTCAAAAGAAAACATGGGCTTGTCTTTGCAATAGAATTTGGTAGAAATTCTACCAACCTTACATGTTCATACAATGCATTATTATTTTGCTTTTGAATTTATGGCTTTTCATTAAAAATGGGATTTTGGCTTTGATTATATCTAACACCAAACTCTAAAGATAAGTAGGGGACAACGTAGTTTCATCCATCACTTTTGATGTGTCTAAAACGCTATCTTAATTAATCATTTAATTCATTGATTGATGTTTTCTTTTCGACAATTTTTTATTTCTATAGAATCTTTTATCGTATAATTTGTTTTTTTTTTTCAATACTGACCCAAAATTGTTTAGATTTGAACGATAAAACGGGGCACAGTGTAATAGTCCAAGTTCACCGTTACTTTGGACTTTCTCTTCTAGTTTTTTCTCAAGGTTTTAAAACACGCGTCTAGTAAAGAGAGATTTCTATACCATATTAAAACCTCGAGGAAAAGTCTATAAGAAAAAGACGAAAGAAAACGATATCTACTAGCGATGATGCGTTTGAATTAGACTGGCATGAAATCATGGATGAAGGGGTGGTTTTATCATTGAAAATTAAATAAATTTTTTTTTTTTTTTTAATGGAACATTTGAAGATTTTAGACATTTTTCATTACGAGTATTTATTTGTTACAAAAAAAAAAAAAAAAAAAAAAAACCTAATTTATCCCATTTTGAGCGCTAAATCCATCTGGCAGGCTGATGAACCGTCAGAAATGACGTTGGGCCCAAATTTTGTGTTTGACGAGAGATTTTGACTGGGCCTATTATGGGCCATAGACTTGATTCATTGTACTATGGACCACGCCGCCACATGCCTCTCTTCCGACAAAACTAATACAAATTCGAGGGTCCCACTTTAGAAAACACGCATCCCAATTCACACTTGTTTTACACTCTTGCTTCAAGTTGGTTTAGTTGGAGTCCGACAACACCCACAAACTTATTCTCGTACTCTTGATAACAGCAAATTTGCGATTGTACGGCACTCACTTTTTCAACAATAAGTGAGCTAAGCCAATTCGTTCTTACGTCGCTTACGGTCAAGCGACGTATGCTCGAGCTTCTGGCTTCGATTTAAGAAGAAGATTTTAGAAAACGAGGGCAGAGAGAGATTTTGAAAGAGACGTTATATATGCAAATAAGAGTAGTAACAACAACTACTCACAATATATGACTATTGCAAGGAGAAGTTGAATTCAATCCTATTTTAAAAAGTCTTCTTATATATCAATAATTAAATTTAACTCTAAACCCTAAACCCTAAATCAAATTTTTAATTCGACTCGAAAAAAATCTAATCCAACCCAATTAGTTTGGATTATGGCACGAGTTATATAAACCATCTACCCTAATCAATAATCAATGTCTCAAATGTAAATCTTAAATATTTGAAAAAGTTTTAAAATTAAATATTTGCAAGTGCAACAATAATCATATATTAATTTGATGGTATTACTATTTTGATAACCTAAAACCACATCTCAAATGTAAATCTCAAACTAACACTGAAATTATAAAAGACTATAATGGGATTAATTAATTTTATTGAATAAACCCACAAATATTTACAAACCAAAAGTAGAAAATTCTATAGCAAAAAAAACAAAGACCCAAGTGACCAACAAATCTTAAGGAGGTCGACAAAAATGGACCATACAACTATATCAAACAGCAAGCATCTGCCTCTGCCGATTGAAGTTGAAAGCTAATAATAAAATAAAATACCAAAAAATTATTTTTATTAAAATTGTGGGTTTTATTCTCAAAATTTCTTCTTTTGTTTCCCACGGCTCATACCTCCAAAAAGGGTCCCACTCCCATATTTTCCCTTTCCAATAGAAACTTGACACGTTGCTTCACCTTCTTCCACCTCCTCCTCCTCCTCCTCCTCCCATTCCTCTGTTTGTAAAGATTGCTGGTAATATCGAAACGCCACAAACAGCACAAATGCTGAAACAAAATAACACAAATCCCTAATTTTATAAATATCTTTTAAGAAATTAAATAAATATATACATCTTTTAGATCAATCTTCCCGACCGACTCAACTCAATTGATTAAGATATTATAGTTTTGATCAGTCTACCCGACCGATGATTAAAGAAGTAAGAAGTAATTACCAGCCCAAACTCGAGCGACCACTGAAGACAAGTTCCATACGAGTACGAAGATTGCTACAGCCACTCCCTTTTTGTGAGAACATGACTCCCATGCATCACGAAATCGTCGAACCCAAAATTTAGCTGCAATGGCCCAATAATATGTTAATTGAATTTAAATATTGTAATTGGGCCCAAACTGGACAAGTATCAAGGCCCAATATTGGGTGTGTAGCTATTATGTCTTTTGGGCCGATGGGCCCACCTTAAAAGAGTGCCGAGATCTTTTAGATCCACAATAGAATATGGCTAGGCCATTTGCAAATCGTAAACAAAGCAAGATGGAAATTAATTTTTAAAAATTAATAGTAAATTTAAATTCCATAACCATTTAACTTTTTAGTTTAACATTTTTATTAATTTCCTCCATGATTTTCACATTGTATTATTGCTGCGGGTAAAAAAATAATAAAATTAAAATGTTAAATAGTTTAGGTGTGGAGCAGGGACAGGGAGAGACAAAAGTACGAAAAAGCAGGTGAAGAGTGATATTGGGAACGTAAGTAACGGTATCGTGAAAGGGACAAAAGTGACATTTTGGGTCAGAGATTTTACCGTAAGCAGCCAGCTGCGAGGAATACGAAGAGCAGACCTTCGGTACGGTAAATACTCCGAAGAAACCTGACACCAAAAATAAGTTACCTCGTCAATCCAAATTCACTTTATTCTTCACATTCTTAATTAACAGAACGTGGAATAAGCCCCTCAAATTTATATCTTTAATACATTATACCACATACATGATTAAATACAATAATGTTAAGGAGTAAATATATTCAGAGTTTGAAAATTTGAAGTTGAATTTTAGTGGAATTAAAATTTCATTTATAATAAAATTCTAAATATATATCTAACATATAAATTAATTTTAAAAAAACAAACTTTTGAAACTTTAGTTATTAAATAAATACAATACCAAAATTTGAGATTAAATTTATAATTTAACGAAATAAGAACGAAGAGAAAAAGTTGTATATGTATGAATTATTTATTGTATCTCTAGGCCACGTTTAATTTATTTATTATTTTTAGCTTTTAAAAGTTAAACACTACCTTTACCTTTAAATTTTTTATTTTTACTAATGTTTAAAAAAAAATAAGTTAAATTTAAAAAGCTTAAAAAAAATAACTTTTAAAAATATTTTTTAGAATTTGAATGTGTGAAAATATAATTAACAAATTAGGAATTAAAAGAAAAAAAAAAGCTGAAAAGGAAATTTTAATGGAAATTTTAAATCTCACCCCATTTGGCGACTTTCCAGACGGTTATTGAGCTGCCACATCGGGCCAAGGCAAACAGGAGAACAGCCAGCTGCATGTTTGCAAATAAATCAACCATTATTTTCCGTACCTTCTTAAAAATTATAATAATTTAAATAAAAATTAAAGGGGAAAAAAAGAAAAAAAGAAAAAAAAAGATACCTTGATTGTAGTTGCAGGATCTCCACAAAACAGAGCTCTGAGCTTTAACAAGAACTCATTCAAGTAAGGGAGTAGTAATTTAAGAGCCCAAATTGCTTCTTCTTCGCCAACCACATGCCTTACGTTCTCCATATCAATGGCTCCCCTGAATTTTGTGATCCCCATTAAACAAACAAGTACAGACAAAACTCTTACATTCTTCTTTCTTCTTCTTCTTCTCTTTATTCACTCACAAGTCACAACCAATTCTCATGAGAACATTGATTACCTGCAAATAATGGATCTATACAGGAACGTGGCAGCAAGGTAGCAGAGTCCCACATATGACATCACAGAGATAAAGCTGCAACTCGAACAGAGAAAAACAGAGCACTTTAGATTTGATTATATGGAAATTTGGGTTTGAATGTAAACTTTCAAAGCTACCCAGAGGGTTTTTTTTTTTTTTTCTCACCTGATGTTAATGTCCTTAGCGTAGGAAGATGATATTATAAGAAAAGATCCAATCCCAAACACGAAGGCAGATCTCGATACTTCCTTCCACATTACTAAGTCCACTGACCAAAAAGTAAGAACAATTCGGGTTGAGAAATCTAGAGACCCATTAATCCAAAAAAAAAAAAAAAAAAAAAAGGAAAAAAAAAGAAAGAGGATCCTGAATTCAGTGTACCTAAGCTCTGCAATTTGGTGCTTTTTTCTTGGAAGCTGTGATATTCGTTCGATGCTGAGAATTATACAGCAGAATGTTCAAGAACAAGAACTGATTTAGTGAAAGAATAGTGGATGAAATGGCAGAAGATTTTACTTACTGAAAGTGGGTTTGGTGGACGTTGGACCTGGTTTTTCGTAGATTTGGTGGAATCGCTTCACTTCACTCACAACTTTTTTGGGTTCTGGTAAATTGATCTCCTTGATATCGAAGCTTTCCTTCTCAATTTCAATGTCCTCTTCTTCTTCATCTGTTTCCTCCTCTTCGTTGGCTTCATTTTCATCTTTAACATCACTGTCATTGATCGACACTTTCTGAGTGGATTTGATCGGACCCGCAATGGTTGAAATGTGGCACACTTCAAATTCCTTACAAGAAGTCTCATTCTCAACTTGAGGTTTCTCAATTTCCTTCACAGATCCGTGGATTCCCTTCTCAATTACGACCAAATTCTCGTTCGATTCTGATTCTAGATTTTGCAGATGCTCTAAATCTGTCCCATTTCTTCCACCGACAACAACAATGGCCTTAGCATTGTCATCGACGATTGTGCTGATGGAATCCGACTTCACCTTCCTGAGCTGAATTGGGGTTTTTTCATTTCTCTCAACACTTGATCTACTCCCCACTTCAGATTTTGACTTCCTTATTTGATTTGGGCTTCTCTCAATTTCTTCAGATCTCAACTTCCTCAGCTGATTTGGGCTTCTCTGAATTGGCGATTTTTCAGATCCATCTGAACCGTCTGAACTCAACACCTTCCTCTTTGCACTCACTACGGAAGTATCAGTTGCTGTAGTAGTTCTCTTGGGCATTACTCTTGTTACAGCTCTACCTTCTTTGTTACTACCATCTTCCCCATTGAACACCTTAATCCCACCTTTCACTTCATCCATCTTCATTCTGCTCTCCCAAACAGACCCTGAAACCACACTACTACTAACCCCTGTTTTTCTTCTACCCAAATCCATCTCCCTCTTTTTATCACCAACCCACTTTTTCTCTTTCTAGTAATTACAGTGACATTGATGGATATGAAGCTTTAATATGAAGAAATGGCGGTCGGTGGGGCGGAAATTGGGATACCTTTGAAAAGCAGAGTAAGAAAGACAGAGAGTGAGAGAGAGAGAGAGGGGGGAAAATTGTGTTTCAAGAGAGATGGGTTTCTCTTTATCCTTTCTTTTCCTTTCTTTTTTTTCCTTTTTTTCCTGCTTTTCTTTTCTGGGTACCCTGTGATTTTTCTTTTTAATTTATAAAAAAGAAAACCAAGGAGAGGACTTGTGGGGTTGAAATGATTAGGGTGCTAAGGATGATGGTGTTGGGTATTTATTCTACAAAAAAAGTGTATAAGGATCTTCAAAAGCACTGTTTTCGAGGCACCCCAAAGCCATTACAGCTACTGCATGTAAAGTGTAGAAATTAACATGCTTTTGAAAGAGAGAGATGGAAGCAGAAGCCTTCTCTTCTGTTTTCTCTCCATTTTGTCTCTAACAAATGGCAGATGAAAGTTTCGTACTTTTTCAAGTAGTGGTGCCAAACTGAAACTTCTACAAATTAGTGTCTTTTTGCCTGCTTTAGAAACCTACTGGGAAAGGATGGAGACTAGAATTTCAATCTACGACTCTTATGCCCTGTCTTACGGTGGTTACTGGTTGACGATGGAAAACTAAATAGGCAGAGACCTATTTGACAGTTGTTGGCTCGGTGACATTAAACCAGATTGAGGTGTTAGTATCGTGTCTATTGCTACACATTTTACTCCTTAACTTGGACTTCATCAGATTTGTTTTAATAATACATCTATTCTCATCAGATTTACAATATTTCACAAAAATTTCAAAACTACTCTTGAGCACAATTAGAATTTTGGATGGAACTTAGAACATAGAACATATGTATGATAAACTTGGCACTATTTCAGAACTAAATTTTATCCAACATTCTAAAGAATCTCTAATAATTCTAAAGTTTAAGGCTTCAATTATTGAAGGGTAGGTTTTCACTCTGAAGAATAGGGTAAGAGCTGAAATGGTGTGTTAAAATGGTTGAATCTAACCATCAAAGAGTGAGGAAAAAATAAATAAATAAATAAAAAATGAAAAATTTAATAAACGCCGGACATTGAAAGGAACAGATCAAAAATTCCAAGAAACGAGCACCGTAGAAAAGAAGAAAATGCCAAAGGGTGAAAACGGGTTGCACCAAAGTCCAAGTTTGACAGTGTGTAATCCAATGTTTATTTAATATTTTTTTAAAATGTTATTTAACCCTTTTTTTTAGAAAACAATTGGAGGGATAAAATTGTTTTCCAAAGGTTTTGAGAGATTTTAACGGACGGATTTCAAATGAATTGAATAGTTGTACATTTAGAAAGAGGTTTCAAAAACCTGTTTTTTCCTTTTATAAACTAATGACAAAAAATGATCGAATATAGAGAATCTGATAGGATTCTAGTTGGTCATATTGGACTTTTATTAATAAATTAGAATAAACCTGTCATATTTATAAACTTACAATATTAATTTTTATTTTTTAAGTCAAGGGTCTAATTTATTGAAATTGAAAGTTTATAATAAAAAATTAACACAATTTGTTAAATTCGAAGAGAAAAAGCGATTTTTTCCTAACTTCTTAGTATTTTTGTTTCCTGCAAAAAAATCTAAAAAAAAAAAAAAAAGAAAAGAAAAGAAAAAGAAAGAAATGATTACATTCCTTCAAGATAAATAATTTAAAATCATTTATAGTACTTCAAATAAAAAATTTGAAATAAATTTTCAAATTCTTTATTTCAAGGGGTGAATTCTTGGAGATTTTCCAGATGGGTAATATTCACCTATGTAGTAAAAAAAATAACACAACAGAAAGTTAAAAAAACAAAAATTCTTTTACTATTAGCAAATGAAAGACGTATTTCTACTAAACTCTTGGACACATTTTTATAATGAAGTCTTAAAGAGAACGTAAGGATATTCTAATAGAATTCCAGTAATATATTCATCATACGAAACACACTCGATAATTCACAGCCTTTTCCCAAGAAAAAGAAAAGAAATAGAGCTATTCTTTTCTATTGATACGATTTATTAAATCAGGAAGGTTTTATTTATGTGGGAAGGGTGTCAGATAATGAACATGTCAACTTTGGCAACCCCAATCGAATCTGAAAATTAATAATACCCACCATTCAGGATTCACCAAGCAAGGTGAATCCCACTCATTACTTTAATCTCACAGAAAAGTGATCCCCAGACGGAACCCATCGGCCAAATTATAATTCTTCTTTATCATAATAGATTAAATCGAAGCTTTTTAAACATTCATATAAATAGATCAACAAACACCTAAATACTCAATATTGGAGACTACTCGTTCTAATCACTCACCATTAAAAATTAAGATCCTCTACAATACTATACTATTGTCCACTTTAAACGTAAGTTCTTCTGATTTTGCTTTAAACATAGTATTGCTCCTAATTAGTCAATGTGAGACTACGACACTAACTAGGGAAGGAAAAATAGGCCAAAAGATTCATAGCATTGTAATGCCAATCACAACCCTCACGAAGAAAACGGAGGTCTGTGATACGCATTACCACTTGGAAGGGGAGTTAAAATGATATCGAATAGCTCTACAAATTCCCAATACGACAATGAAATGAATTTAGTTTGAATGATTGAAGAAAGGAGAGGAGATGGAAGCAGAAGACTGTTGAAAATGGCTGGTAGTGAGGGAGAGAATGAGCGAGGAAGGAATCCAGCAGAGAAGAGCAGAGGGGGCAGGCAGGGGACAGAGGCCTTCAGAAAGGAAGGAGCCACTTTTGGGGCTGAACATGTGCCTCCAAAAGGAAATGAGTTGATAATAGGCTTCTAGTTCTACCACACAAATTTTGTCCATTTCATCACCCCACCGACACTCAGCCCCTAAGCTCAATACCTTTTTCTTTTTTGTAGCGTTAGGGTACACAGATAGGAAAAGTTAGCAGAGGGCATTTGGCATCTCTAGTCTTCAGATAATAACTTTAATGCATAGTTCACTCCAATATATATCCTAATGTTTGGTGGATGAATCATATATTCTTTAGATTTTCCAACTCCAATAACCAAAGTTAATTAAACCAAATTTTAGACTAGGGGTGTAATTAATAACTTCAATTTTTTAAGGATTGTGGCCAGTTATATGCATCTTGTAGTAGATAAAGATTCTTTTTGGGAGGCATTGTATTTTTCAAGTGTTGGATATTTTTTAAGTGTTGGATATTTTTTAACTGTTGGATAATTTTTAATTGTCATTTTTATCACTTTTTTCTTTATGGGTTCGAATATTGACTTTTTTTTTTTTTTTTAAATACTTCAAACCTTTCTTTGATTTTGAGTATTTTTCAAGATTGAATTTCGGGTATTTTTCAAGATTGAGTTTTGACATTTCTAATTTGAGTGGTTTGTTGATGGTTTATGTAAACAAATCAAGTTACATGTATAAATACATGTATCAACTATCCATGGACCAAAAAGAAATAAATTAATCTAGAGAACATAATAACTTGCTAAATTTATTAAATAATAATGAACAAGCAATAATGGAAGATCGAAGTGTGAGATGATATAGAATAAAATAATCAAAGAAAAAAAAAATTAAAGTGCTCAAAGATTCTCCCCAATATTTTTGAGATTGGAGCAAAGTTCAGAAATGGATGTAATTGGCCAAGCAGTCAACCATCCATTAAAATTTTCTTACGTATTAAGATGTGATGATAGGTGGGGATTAGGTATAACTAAAATTTTTATCTTTTGAAATTTTATATAAATTGGGATTGTAATTTCAAATTCCAAGAAGTCAAAACTCTAATGAAAAATGGGCCAAACGGCTATTGTTTATTTTCAAACAATTCAATAAAAAAATAAATAAAAAGAATATTTCCACAGTTGCTGTCAAGCCCAGCAGTTACGTAATATTAGACCCCTTTGCCCAAAATGAATAAGGTAAAGTGTAGTCTGTTTAAATAAAAAGAATAAAATTCTAATCACTCCACTATTTGAGAATATTGTATTATATTATTTGGAAAACGATCCAAACCTGCGGCTTATTAAATAAATTACTAACCATTAAAGTAAAAGTTTAGACATTTAGATATTTAATAATGATTTTTTAAAAATTAAATATAACTTTTGAGAGAAGGTAGGAATCAACAAAAACATAGAGCTTTAAAGTATCTTTGCCATTTCTCCATTGCTAGTTATGTTCCCAAGAGATGGATTCTTAGATTTAGAGATGACTAAATTTTCAATCTTCAATTTATCCACGATAGATTTCGGAATGAGAAATCGATCGGAATTCTTTATCCATCCGACCTAATTTCACATCCGAAAATATGGAACAAGGATGGGACAATTCTTCTTTGGTCCGGGGATAGCAAAATGAGAAACCTTTAAGAATATATTAAATTAAGAGATAGAGAGAGAGGAAGATATAAATATTTGGGAGGTGGATAGGTAAAAGCGCTGAGAAACAGGGGTTAAGAATGTTACCTCATGAAGACAAAGGAACTTTCCATTCTGAAGCATGCCAACCATCTTGGGAAAAACAAAAGCTGAAAAAAAAAAAAAAAAAACGTTCATGAGTTTAAAAGCAACGGAACCGATCAACTTCATGAATAAAAGCATTATTAAAAGGGCATATGGGAAATCTTCTAATGTAACCATCCAACACTTTCCTGGTACACGTATCACAATGACGCAAGAAATTCCCAAACACATATATTTACTCCAGTAACTGCTGTAATTGACTTGCAATCCCCACTTACCAATTGAAAGAAAAAAATGTACTAAATATAAAGTTATCAGGCTTACCTCAAGGCTCATTCCATGCCAAGATTCTGAACTTGTGCAGAGAAAGGAATCCAGTTTTGCCATTCCAAAGCCAACTGTTACTTACAGAACCGCACAAAAACGATGATTATTTGATAGATGGTAATAATTTTATCAATGAATGACAAAGTAAGGAAAAATTGAATGGACGGTGTAGATATTCCGAGTCCCGACGGAAATAAAGGTCATGTAGATAGTATATTTGTCCTTTGAATAGTTCATATAACTTCCCAAGATAGAAGGGAAATAACATGCAACTTCACGCCCTATGCTGCCATAGGAATAAAAAGTGATCTGTAGCCTAAACTTTGTCTATTATATCCAAAATCCTACCCCATTATATTCCAATGAAAAGAGAGAAAAGCTTATTAGCTATCTATTCCACAAATGGGAAAACATCAGTGGATTACTAGTTCTCGCTGGGGGTTATGTTGCTGTTTGAGTCAAAATGTGAGAGAGAAACGTTCAAGGGAACCAAGCTCAACGAATAAGGAATCGCTGAAGGATCAACATAGGGGTTTGGACCCAAACTGGCAACGTTACAGACTTCCATCACCTTGCCTGTTTCAGTGTGGTAGAAATAGATTGTTGAATACACCCTCATCAATAAGACCTCATCTTTAAATGCTAAGGGATCCATCAATGGATCCATACCCGCAACCAGTTTCTGTTGCATGCTCTTTTGTAACTTGAAAAACATTCTTGGGTTCTCTTCCTCAATCACTTGGAGCCGTTTTGAATGTTTGAGCATCCATTTTGTCTCAAAATAATCTTCCAGATACCAAACAATAATTCCATCTTCACAGATCATGATGAAATGTAGCAAGCCCATGGATTCTCCAATGCATGTTCCAGGGACATTGATGAAAAATTCCAAGACAGGAATTGGAGATGAAATCAACAGAGATAGTTCTTTCTCTGTATCAAATGCAAGGATTTGATCCGTATCAGTAAGCCAATGTAAGATCCCTTTAGCATAAATGCCTTTGTTCTTCAACAAGTTGCCCTTTGAATAGCATACTTCATTTGATTCCTTCCAGGTTCCTGTTTTTGAAGAGTATATTTTAAACGTGTAGTGCAATTCCTCTTGCTCATTCTCCAACTGCTGAATTCTAACTATTCTGAAATTCGTTGAAGTGTTTACAGGGTCCAGGATGGGATCAAATGCTAGAGCAATGTTGCTGAACCTGTCCAGCTGAGCCACTTCAAAACTCACCCACTTCTCAAACAAAGGATTGCAGACGTAGATTATTGTAGGGCGTTGTGTAGGGAAGCAACTTCTACAACAAACCAGGCCATTACAGGATGCCAAAATGACAACATCCTCGGGCAGGAAACCAAGGACCATTTTCTGCACCTTAGAATCTGCATTTACTGGCATATAGCTAAATGTTTTTATATCGTCAAGGCATTTTTGGTATTTCTCTTGAAAGATGAAACCAGATAACGTCAATCCAGTCTTCTGGAACTGAGCTTGTACAAATGAGCGGTCTGAAATAAGTTCATGCCACCCTTTAGAAACGGACCTCATTTCAACAAGAGTCTTCGTTGGCAACCGAGATAAAACATCAAAGGGAATATCTCCGTCATTCATGACCCTGAGATTCTCCATGTACTAGCATTGGAAACTTGATGTTAAAAATAGATTAAAAAAACCATGAATAAATACGCTAATGGACAAAGAGCTTTCTAGGCATCTTATGTGAAGGAGAAATTACATTGACACTGAAATATCAATACGTGATACAGTTGATGGAGAGCCTATCTATTCTTTGAATTTCTCTAGTAGCACAGCCATACAAATCTAGATGAAATAATCCCAGCTCTGTCAACGCTTCAATTCCCATTTACACAAATCTTGGTCAGTATCAGGAAATAAATGCATTACAACTTATCAGGATAAGCAAGATAATATAGATGGGACAATTAAAGAATTTTCATTACTTTGTTCTCTGCTCTGTCCTCTTCTACGACCATCCAATCAAAGACCTAAACCAGCATAACTATTCAATTACTGTTAGAAAAAGGGTAATAGACTCCGGTTCTTGACTGGCACGTGATATCATTGTCTCCATACGAAGGCAAAAAATGAAGAAACAAAATTCGTCAATCAGTGGATCATTTTATTTTATTTTATTTTTTGTGAAATCAAATATCATCTACAGACGTGAAAATAGAGAGAAGTAAAGCTTCTCGAACCTTATACACAGTGCAAATTCTGCCATCAGATAACCGACTAAATTAGTTAGAAAATGCAAACTAATCGCTAACAAATATTCGAAGTTTATTTTCTCTCCTACGATAGTATTGTTAAAATAACTATTATCAATACATGCTCATAACTGAAAAGATTTTCCGTTAGAAAATCAGGGAGTTAATACAAATGCGGAAAGCAAAAAGCATAGAGTGGATTGAATTAAGCTATGAAGAACATCCATGAAACTCAGCCACCTATGAAAACATGAACACGCAAAGCGTAAACCACATGAAATATGATTTTCGAAAATATCGTGAAGGAAACTAATAGTTTATTTAAGCCGTTTTCAGTAAGAAATAATGTTAATACTTAGATCTTCTCCCTCTTTTTTCTTTTCATTCTGTTTTTTCAAGTTATTTCCATGAACAGCCATACAGTACTAGTCAGCCAAAGAAAAATGCTCAAAATGCTCGTGATGCTCGCATTCAAACACATCCACTACTGTAAGTTCTCTCCGACGCCATGAACAAGGAAGCTGCAGACTAACAGCGAAACAGTCTACTATATCAAAACGAGAAGTTCATAACATCCAAAAAGCAAAGAGGAAGCTCAGTTATCGTCGGCTAAATGCATGAAAGTCGATTCTCATACGCAATGCATGGAGCACCAAAATACGAATCCATGAGGAAGAAGAAACGACTATAATAGAATCAAAGCACAGGCAGAGTACAGAGACACAAAAATAAAATTACAGAAATGAAGCCTTCGAAAAACTCTTTCACCTGTCAACAGAACGGCGTGGAGGAATCGAGAAAGATATGCAGATAAGCGAAGAATATGAAACGAACCGTGCAGTGGCGGGACGGGGCCTCAGCTCTGCAACTCTGCCACTGGAATGAAAGCAACGCAAATGCTTTTAAGCAGTTGCATTCCGTGACGTGGCTGTAAAAGAAGAAGAAGAAACGACCGGGGTTTTATACGCTGTGTAACAGCTGGACCATTTTAGCATTTCCTCTCTTTTTTTCTCGATTTTTTAAATCTTATTTTAATATTTCTGATATAATTGAAATATTTAAATGGTTTGGTATATAGAAATAGAAGGTATATTTAATCAGTTATATTTTACAAATATTGATTAATGAGCTTAGTTAAGTTATATTTATATATAATGAAAATAAAATGTATATTATTTTTTTTATAAAAAAAATCCATGCATATGCTTGAACTTAAAAAAAATAAAAGAATACTTTTATTTTTTTTAATCACCACAAAATACAAGCTATAAATAATTCAATAACAATACTTTAATCAATTTTAATCAATAATATGCTGCTAAGCTGATTAACACATATATCGAAATATTAAAAAGTTAAAATTTCTTGACACAAATAACAATGATTAAAATTCATAATGTATTTGTTCGATTCTTTACCTTTCTTTTTAATAAATATATTTATCGAGGAAATCGATTAATGATTTAACACGGATGGAGATGAGAAGCAACAAGGTAAAATAGAATCCCTATTGAATGTCGAAACATGGTAGGAAAAGACATTCTTATCCCTAGAGAAAGTGTTGATCATAATATAGAAAGACAATGAATGATCAGGCAGGAGACATTTTTGAGTAGTGTAAATAGGCATAACACAACTCAAAATTTTCTTTAAATAATGGTAAAGCTAAATACACATTTGGATGAATTTTTGTTCCAAAACAAAAGAATGTCAGGGGATCTTCAAATTACAAAGCAACCTTGAAAGGTGACTTTCTTGTATCCCCTTATGATTATGTACACACAAGAATTTGTTCAGTTTTGATACAAGCAGCCAGCCTGCTCAGCGCATTCAGCAACAGGATGAAGCTTGATCTGCCTGGGTTGCTGCAGTGCAAATAACGATATCATCTAGCAATGTTAAAGCTCAAAAGGCTGTTGAATATACGGAGAGAAACGAAGCTATGAATTTGAGATGTCGATAGACGACGAAAGCGCTATGAAACCGGGTTAAGAATGTTACCTCATGAAGGAGTGGTACACTTCCCACTGAAACTAATTGCTTGTGTTGGATGTCTGTAGATCAAGAGGGCTTACTTGAAGGAACTTGACATGCTAACTTACTTGACATTGCCAATCTCGACCTGGGAGCGTGATAACTTCTTCGTCCTCGTCTTTTTGTGCACGTGCCCCGTCTTTGATTTTTCCTTTTCAGTTGCTTTCTTCAATTCAAGCTCTATCTGCTTGCAGTTTTCCTCGTGCGCTCGGTTAAACATACTCACAAAGTTGCATAAGGTTGACATAACTGCAGTGGGGGGAGCGGGGTTAGACCAACAACGACACTAAAAGGAGTCATCTACGGTTAACATCTCACACTTTGTTTCTGCTCATAATGAACATATATACCTTGTTCAAAGGGGCAGCGAGCTGGATCTTCTCCAAAATAAAGAATCAAAGAATCTACATTTCTACCCTGAAAAGTATCAAGTTCCAGATAAGCAATAACCTAATCCAAGCAGAGGATCAAAATTTGAACAGATGCACCAAGAAACAGCACCTACCACGCTAGAGTATAGTGAAGCCAGAGTTCTGACTTCAGCTTCAGCAAAACGGAGGAACTCCTTTAAAACCTGAACGACCGGGGGAGAGGGGAGGTAATGAAGTCAACAGAGCACTGATAAAACTTGTCTAAGAAATGAAAAAAATTATTTTCTAGTGACAGCAGAAGTTCCCAGCTCAAGGAACATAATTCTAAGTAAATTAGACGGGTAACTTAAATCAGTGAGCTTTAATACCATTCGGAAATTATTGGATATAGGGCCATCATTTTCAGATGTAGACAATTCTTGAACTATTTTCTCCAACCCTTTGCTAATTGCTTGCATCTCCTCTGCCAAAATCTTCAATTGTACCTGGCCGGAAGTCGAACCTGTCTTCAGTCACAGCCAAAAATACACACACATGCACTAAGGAAAAAAAAAGGACCAAAACCAACTAAAAGAGATAAAACCTTTGATGCAGGCTCCAAGCTTGCAAGATCATTAGAAAAATCCAAAACTTCTGGCAGTTTGTCAGCAAGTATCTACACTTGTCAATAAATAATAAACTCAGAAAACTAGTTCTAGTAGACCATACTACGCCAGTTAAAGAAAATAGAGTACCTAAACTTGAGACGAAGATAAAGAAAATATGCCCGAAATGAACTACTATAGTTAAGGAGATTTTTAAGAGATTATTAAGCACACAAGAGGCTTAATTCTCTCCAATAACCATCAACGGGTCCTAAAGTAAGAACAAAGAAATTCAGCTTGAGATCATCATGGAACCACTTCAAGTATATTATTATCTTTGCAACTAGCTCTAGATTTTTACTACCGGAGATAAAATTGAAAAACTCAAGCATCACCGTAATTTTCTAATCCCATAACAGTCTCTCAATTAATCTCATGCCACTCCGTTCCTGATTTTAGGTGTCGTTATCGTCCATTCTTGATTGTTTTACAGAAGGCGCCAATCTCCTCCAACCCACACGTTTTTCTTTACTTGTTCTTTTTCCCCCCTCACTCTTTCTCACTTCTGGCTACATGTTATCGTACGGCTTAAAAAGTGAGATACATAACATTAGCAAAACGACAAAACGTAGATCATGCTCATTGAGCAATAGACAGTACAAGTTGCACCTTGCAAAGATAATGCATTAGAGTCATCTTGTTGTTTCGTGCACGCGTTTCTGTCAGTTTAAGAAGGCTATCCAGCCTAAATCCTATAGCAGAGCCTGAAAAGGAACAACAATAATGAGTAGATGAAGTCAATGAGACGATTATAAAAGAAATATTTCAGTTAGCATGAGAGTGATAATCTTTCTACACAGAGAAGGGGGGGAAGGGAGCAAACTCAATTTAATGTAACGTACAAATTAAAAATATTATTGTGGAAATGGTTTATAGGAAACAAAAGAAGAAAGGGAGTTCAAATTAAAAGACCTCTGGAAGTCAGTTTTCAAATTTTTAATGATTCTAAAACAAGAAGTTTAAAATGTTCAGATAAATTCATGTACTGTCTTCATGATGGTAAACAAATGGCTGTAATAGACTGAATTCAGAGAAAATATAGATGCAACATCAACTAACCCCTCGCTGTTCCCTGGTTTAAAGCATTTCCTAGAGATAGTATTGTTTGCATGACTCTCTTCAACTTCACTGAACTTTTTATCTGTAATAAAGATATCAGAAAAGAGAAACGAGATCCCAAATCCATATCATAGAACCATGGGCAAAAATTACCTCTTCTGCAGCAGAGTTAACAAAGTTCAAGCTTTTTTTGAGGTCAGTGACCTGCATGACCAACAACAGGGATCGTTAAAGATTATCTACATATTCGTGCGTGTGTGTGGATGTGGCAGGTGAGGCTATTGACCTGACAGCTGAACTGCATCTTGAATGAGAAAACTCGAAGTTTACATTCAACACGAGGTACTTGCATCAACTCTAAGAAGAACTGTGAGAAAAAATATTATATCATTCGTCCATTCTAAACTCGACCAAACTTTTTTTTTTTAATTAAAAAAAGAGAAATGAGGAAAAAAGGAAGAAGGAGAATGTAATTTTCCAAATTTGATCAGCAGTGCAGTTTGAACAAAAATGACAGATAGTGGATGAGATTAGAAATAGGGAAACGCAATACAAGTTTTCAAGCATCGCTACATGAAAAATTTAACTCAATATATTCACTACAATGATATGAGGGGGAAAACAAGGTTAACAACAAAACAACTAAAGACAAAAGGTCCAAGGAAAGTTCTCACTATGCTAATTTTTCAAAGAACTAAGGAAAGTTCTCAGTTGATTGCTGTCAAATTCCATTAGGAATTAACAAAATGGAACCAGAACGTTTCTTGCATTTAAGGCATTATAACGTACAAAGAAAAAAAAGTAAAAAAACCTCACTGATCAACAAAGTAATAAAGTCGCGAATTAATTTATCTAAGTTGAACAGAAAATTTTCCAACTAATTTGCAGGGGAAAACATTTTTCACCAACTTTAATATTTCATGCATATGTTGCTCAATAGTTTGTAAATCACCATGTTAATAATCCACATACTGCCATTGAGGAATAAGAAATTGCCTCAAGACAATTCAGTATTATTTCGTGCTTATCTTCGGAGCAGTAATAAAATTACGATAAATTTGGTTATAAGAGGCGATTTTACATTCTTCATGCATCAGTTATATAAACATGTAATGTACATGTCATCCATGCCGAAAAGTTTCTTTAAGAACCTGTTCACATTTTCCAAGCTTCTCCTTTTCTCCGGTGTAGCCCTGCACATGAGCATGCCTGCATTAATTATCCATCGTTCGCTTTACCCCTTGAGTTTATCCCAAACTTAGAAGTACTTAAATTATTAGCATTAACAAGGCCTTTAGTGCCTTCACCGAGAGAGAATGCAAGACCTTTCAAGGATTATCATTTTTTATAATTTACCAACCTTGAGTAAATCCATTTCCTCCTTTGTCGGACAAAACTTAATAAGATTCTCAACCTGATCGATATCCAGCGCTGCATCTTCAAGGTCAAGCACAGAACTCTGCCACCAATACCCAAGAAGGCACACTATTTAAGGTTAATTAGTAAGAATAAATTACCAAACAAAATTGAGTGTGCATTACACACAAATATCAACGATACTAATTAGCCGAATTCTTTTAAAAAGCAAATTATCATTGATTGAAGAATAACAGAAAAAAAGGTCATCTTCCACTACAAACATCAAACATCAGAAGAAGAGGTATACTACAATTCAAACTAACAAAAAAAGCAACATAATGCATAGAATTGACATTGCTATCATGATAATTGGCAAACATCTTGACTCTATACCCGGGGTTCTTATTACCCTAAAAAAGTTTTCATTTTGTTTCATCGACGCTAACTATACACTAGCCAACAATAGAAGACAGATTTTACAAATCTATTAAAGTTGAGCAGCAAGAACATTGCTAAACAACAATGGAGCGACAATTCTTCCATGGTTTCGTTGTCAATCATTCATTTAGCACCACATCAAGTAGCAATGATGATTAGATAATTGAAGCATATTTTACTTAATTGAAAGATATATAAATATAGATCTTATAAGCATGTTAAATATAAACCATCTTACCATTAAATCTTGCAAAGGCACCTTAACCTTTGAAAGCATGATTTCACAATTGTAAGCTCGCCTATGATCAATCTGTAACAGTGGCAGGTAATCAAACAGAACATCAAGGAATCCCAAAAAAGTTGATATTAATTATAACTAGAAGGAGAAGCAGAAAGCAATAATAATCATGCTAATACTTGCGTTTTTAAACAATGTCAGCAACAAGATACTGGTAGGAAAAGCTACCAAAATGACTATTTCAAATAAAAATCTTTTAGCACAAAATTGGAAATAGTTAATCAGACAACAGCAGAGGGAATTTGGAATTATAAGTGGTTAAATTGCATAAATGACTGGTTACAACAGTATTCATTCATATGATCTGTTCTTTTGATATAAAATCTACAATAATATAGAAGAAGCTTAAAGGAAAGAAATATCAAGTCTTACAAGAAGTCTCTTCGATCTTTCTAAGTTCATTAATTAAATTCTATTTTCCAAAATAAAATATTAAATAAATTTAGTCTGATTCTCAAAAGCGATGCATGCATGTAATCGAATAGCCACTCATTATAGTGCTTAATTTGACCATGTAGTAAATTATTTCAACTACACCCAATCTAAAAGGTGATGAGCGTTCTTTTAAAAAATCGTATTACTTTGAAGAATGTTTTTGAAGGAGCCATATCAGAAAGGATAATATTAATGACATTTGCAATTATTGTGGTTATCTAATTATTGAAGAACACTGGTAGTCTTTTATGACTCTATAAAGAACACTAACCTTCAATAAAACCACAAATCTTTCATTTATAACAGCACCCGCTTCAGAAAAGTGCATACTGTTAGAAATTATTCACTCGTTATTTTAGTTGGAAGTTATTAAGCTGGTTAGCAGGTTATTTGTTAGGTTGTTAGTCTGTAAACATTTTTCACTTGGAGTAGTCTGTATATATTTCCACTTCGAGTAGTTTAATAACAGAAATTTTCTCGAAATCTTTCATTTAATACATAAATTTTAAGAAAATTAAAAGTTATAATAAATGAAGAGAAATGATTGCTGCTATTCTAGGATTGAGTGCAATCATTTCAACTGCTTACACTGATGGCCGACTACACTGAAGTCCGGAGCCTAAGTTTCAAAACAACAGAAGTCATGACGATGATGTCCGGAAAAAGGTTTCTTTTGCATAATTTTTTTAATGTTCTCTAAATGTTATCAGTATACATGGTTTGGTTTGTTATATAACTACATAATGTCCTTAAAATGATCCGTTGTCAGTCATTCACCAGATGCATCCCTCTGCTGTAATAGTTTTTTATAGTAATAATTCATAACCTACAGGAAATGACGTCACAAGAATGATGATAGTTCTAAAGTATATGATGCCCAGCATCAACTGCTAGATGATTTTAATTACCAGTTGTACTTTCTCAGGTTTATTCCCGACTGAACCAGGCCCACCTGACTTCTTGAGCAGATCAGGAGCAGGAACTGCCGCTGAGAAAAGACTTTCAAGCTCTGACATGTCAATCTCTGGTGCCCTACAACAAAATATTAATTTGATTGGTTCAGAAGCATTGTTTGACTTGTTTCAAAACTTCTCTAGTATTAAGGGTTGGCATACCTGGAAACTTCACCAGTTTTTTGAGTTTCAGCCCATAAGCTTCCTTGCACTGCTTTAGATAACTTTAACCAATGCAATGGCTTAAGTTTCTTGGTTATATGTGATCTTGAATTTATAGTGCGTGACAAACTCCGTCCCTTTATACCTAATGGATAACTATTTGGTGGCGGAGGACACCTAGACAAACCATTTTCGAGAAGAGAATCAGAACATAGTTCACCAGATTTTGAAGTCCCTCTCCCAGAAAGGGTAGGAGGAGGGGGAGCAGAAGGAACAGCTGAAGAGGAGCCTGTGGTGGAAGTTGGCGGTGGTGGAGGAGGGGGAACAGATGGAGATGTTGAAGTATATTCAACCGGTCTAAACGGAAGAGGTGGGGGCGGAGGTGGAACAGAAGAAGATGTTGAAGTATATTCAACCGGTCTAAACGGAAGAGGTGGGGGCGGAGGTGGAACAGAAGAAGATGTTGAAGTACTTCCAAACTGCATGGATGTCATAAGAAGAGGTGGTGGTGGTGGAGGAGGAACAAATGGAGATGTTGAAGTACTTTCATCCTGTTTAGACGTCATAGGAAGAGGTGGAGGCGGAGGTGGTGGTGGCAAAGGAACTGGAGATGAAATTGTATGATTTACAGTGGATGTACAAAGAGGAGGTGGTGGTTGAGGCACTAAGGATGCAATTGCTGAGGTTACAGACAGGGGAGGGCCAATGGTTGATAACTGACTTTGATCCTTTGAATAGATTTTTCTTTCCTCGGTGAGAGAAGATTTATCTGGTCCTAGAGTTGATAAATTATTAGACGGAAGTGCTGATGCAGTTGGAGGGGGAGGATAAGCTACAGAATTAGCAACAGAAATATCCATGGAAAGTTGGGGGAGAGGAGGAGGTGGTGGCATGGTTGTCCCTGTAAGGAAACTTTTAGTGCGAAGAGATTCAGGCGCAAGAGAAACAGCCAATGCTGCATTCAGAAAAGATGAAGATGCAGTTTTCAGATGAGAAACCTCTGTTTCTCCTTCAGAATCAAGAAATGAGTGGCTTCCAACCGAAGCACTGTGTGAGGTCCTATTGCTTCTCTCTGAATTCCGCGAATCTTGCAAAATGTCATAGTTAAGTGGGAAAGACCCTGAAGATCGAGGCACCTGTTGGAATACTGAATCAGGTTCATTGTTCTGTTCAGTTTTAGCAGCATCCGGAGAAAACTTAGATGTTGGAACAGACTCTTCCTTCTCTAGGAAAAGTTTGTTCTCCAATGTGAACTTCTGCGGAAGTTTTCTGGGACTTGTACACTGAAGTAAAGAACTAAATTGTGTACTCCAAAGAGAATTATTGTCTGTCTTTTCTTGGGCTATGTTTAAGGCATTCATCTGATGAAGCATATTAAGGGCAACATCTGCTTTGGGATCTAACCAATCCACATGACTAAAGATCTCTTGTACTTTAGCAAATGCTTCAATGGGGAGACCATCCTCCTCAATGCAAAGTATATCATTTGGAACAGTAGAAGTTCCAGCATCCATCTCAGAGAAAAGAATCTACATTCAATTGATGACCAAAGAAAATAAGCAAGAGAGGCAGTACTAGATAATCATGCCAGGAAAAACAAGCATACCTCTGCTCGAAACTCCTTTGGAAATTTATCTTTAGCGTTCCATAAAGTGTCGATCTCTTCACGGTTGACAATTAAGATATTAGAGCGAATAAAAGCAGTATTAAACATTGCTCTGAACATCATCTCTTCAGATTCCATGTCGTCATGCAAGCTGATGCACTCAAGAACGACATCTCCTTGAATATGGCAATTAATATCAATCTTAACCAGTTCTGATTCTACCTGCAACAGGGTACAAAAGGTTGACCATCTGGAAACATCGGGGATTTTAAGTGTATTTAAACATAAGTGTTAACTTAACTCCAAATCAGTCGGCTTTACTTTTGACTAGGCCAAGAGGGCGAAAGCATAGGAAAAGTACAGGAAATGAATTTCTCTTGCAGATTAAATCATAAATTCAAAACTTCTTGGTCTAACTTGATTGCCTAGATAGCTCATTTACCACTGAACCATGGAGCAACACAAAGTTAATCTCCTATTCAAAATTAGTAGAAATTTAAATTAAAAAAAAAAAAAATTGGTGCTTATGATCATCGCACTTCAAATTTTTGTTTGTTATCATGTTGAAAGTTAATTTGAACCTAAAATAGGCGGCAGTGAGAGAACATTAGGATCAGCACAAAGTAGTTAAGATGCAGAGTTTGGTTAAACAATTACAAGAATATGGGATGTCCATTCTAAGCTGCAGAATTTCCAACTTGGCCAGCTATGATGTTATGAGAAGAAAATAATTTACTCGAACTCGTAGAGAAAGTAGATATACTCTAACCGCTTAGCTATGTTCATATGGGAAGAAGAAAACAATGTATTAAGAATCCAAACCCTTTATCACTTGAAAAATTAATGCTTCTGGAAATGATAATATGAGGTTTGTTTTCAATCAACTTGTGATTCTGACAAATACAGATTAAGGGATCACATCACCTGTTTGTAAGAACGGACATTTTTACTTCTTTTTGGAGTTGAATACAGAACTTTAGGAGCTCGATCACTGACGAGCAGAGGATCTTGTCCATATATTCGAAATATTGGACGGCAACCACCCTCTCCATCAACATTTGGAATAAATCTCAAAATGATACAATCCAAAGTGAGAGCTCTGTCCATAGGTGGCCATTCTAAGGCTACATTCCTCCTTGCAATGTATTGAAGATATCTTAATTGAGAAGGAACTGGATTCATAGGAGACAAAACATGTAAAAGCTCACGCGGTGCCTGCCTGTAAACCATGTCCAATGTTCTTTGCTCCCCACTATATTGTTTCCTAAAAATCAAGAGAGCCGAAAGCATGAAAGCTAAAACTGGCCAACCACCACGCTCACAGTGCATTAGCAAAACGTTATTTTGTCCAAGGGAAAGCCAACTCTCACATGATCTTAGAAAATGGTGAAGCACTTCCATTGTCAGAACTGGACAACCCTCGTACTGCTGAGGGTAGTCCATTATGGTCATATCATACTTCGATAAGATATCACCCATCTGACTTTGCATCTCTAATCTCCTAAAATTGAATACCAAGAACGATGCATCTGCTAAATGCTCTCTGAGTTGAGCAACTATTCCACATAAGTAAGCTTCATAATTCTTCTCCTTCCACGAATCTGTGGTAAAACAGCAATCAAAAACTGCAATACAAAATACAGGTTCATGTCAGCCAGTATAGCAACATGTTCTCAAATTTGAATCTAATATCGTTCAGAAGTTCAATTTCAAGTTCTCTGAACAAATATAAAGTTAAAACAGTATCTTTCCCAACTCGTCTGCATACAGATAGAGACATGATCCGTGCGTTCTTATATTCAAGTTTGAAGGCTACATCATATTAAATAAACAAGAGATTCTGAACCAAAATCAGGCAACGTTTCAGACTTGTACAGAACCAACCTAGAAATGGTTCCAAATTAATCAATCACTCATCCAGAGCGGTAGAGATAGATTTAAGTCCTTCAATCTAGCTTATTCAACTTCATTGCGTGAGAAATGAAGACTGTGAGATACGGAATCCGCAAACAACATTCTCTTTCGATTCCATTCCCCATTTGTACTAAAGTTCCCTTCTCGTATCAGAAATTTCACCACTAAAATAAGCAAAAGACAAGCTGATGCACCATAAAACCCATCTTCTCACATCAAAACAATCGAGAATGAGAATTTATACATTATTCAGGCCATTAGAAAAGGAAGCCTAATCAATCGAAGCAAAAAGAAGACAGAAAGACAGTACCGTAAACTCTTTCACAGATCTCGAGAAGGCCATCGGGCGGCTTCCGGAAGAACAATTTGCGCAGCAACGCCATATCATCTGCCGACTAATCCTCCCAATTCCAGCCCGAAATTCATTCGTATAAAACGAAAACTGCCAACGATTGACTCCGTTTATTGTCAGTTCCTTTGTGTTGAAGCTCGAACGTTTCAGCTGGTAATCCCCTTTCCCCTTCGTGTGTTGCGTCGATATGCAGTGGTTTTCCCGGCAGACGGCTTCGTTTTCCTGTGTTTGTTAGTAGTTTCAGTTTTCCGTGCTTCTGCCATGGCTGATACCTCCGAGATGGATGACGTGGACACCATAATTAGCTGCCATCTGTATTTCTTCGCATTTATTTATTTTTACCGTCGTATTTAACAAATTTCCATAGATGTTAGGTGTTTGTTCTGCTTCGCTTGGCCGCATCGATAATTACAAGTGAAGGTCAAGAATTCATTAATTAATATTCTCACCAGAAATAAATAAACATATATATATATATATATATATATATATATATTACTCGAATTTTTTTCATTTTCAATTATTGCCATCAAAAGCAACCACCCAATAACTCACAAATAAGATAAATATAAATATAAAATGTATATTTGTATTTCTATATAAATTTTTTAAGCTTGATTTATTCGAGTGGTTGGATTATTTATTTAAATTGTTAGTTAAAATTTTTATTTTTAAATATTTAATTAAATTTTACCACTAAATTTAAATATATCTTTTTAAAACATTTTACCTTTAAATTTGTTAAAAAATATTTTTAAAAGTCTTCGAGAATAAACATAATAAAAAATTATGAAATTAAGTAAAAATAAAATAAATACTATATATATATTATTATGTCGTGAGTAAAAATATATTTTCTAAACATTAACAATGGATTCGTTTTAGCCCACAGGAAATCATGAACCAACTCAACACATAATAATCTTGGTTTGAGTTAGGTTGATCGGATTTTTTGAACAATTTTATTAAATAGATGTTTTTCTTATTAAATATATGATTAAATTATAAATATATGTTTTTTTTTTTTTTTTTTGTCGTCTATTTGATCTATAAATTTTCAAAATTCTAAATTTTTCTCTAAATTTTTGAATATTTTATCTCATAATTACATAATACTATCCAATTTAAATTTTAGAGTTCTATTAAATAAAAAATTTATATTTATATTTGATACATTAATTATTTTTAAAAAATTTCATTGATTGATCTATCCAATGGAAAGTTAAATTATATTTCTTTTTTATTTATAAAGGGATAGATTTGAGTTATATATATCCAATGAATTTATATTAAATTAATAATTTATTTTTAGGTACAAATTTAATATTTACATTCTTATATCAATTTAATACGTACAACTAGTTAAATTTTTTTTTTTTCGGTTTTTTCAGTTGGATTATAAAAGTCCCACAGACTAATTTAGAAAATGATCATAAGTTTATAATCAATGAATAATCTCTTCATTGATATGAGACATTTTGGATGAGTTTATAATTAAGGAATAGTCTGAGAAAGAAATAATTGAATAAATAAACTGTATTATTTTTAATTCTTAAAATAACCGATAATTGAGCACCATAATAATTAAAAATTTATTAATCACGACGGTTAGGTTTGACGACTGAAGAAATAAATAGATGCCAAATTTGAATGCTCGAGACCAACAGGTGTACGCAATGCCGTGATTTCCTCAGGGGTGTCCATGAACAATGGAAGAAAACAGTAGACTTCTTGCGGGACGGAAATCGAGTAATATCAGCGCCGCTTTCCACACTAGTGGCGGATTCTCGAAAAGGATCACCCCTTTTATGGTAAGCCTATCACTTAAAGAACGGTAGGGGAAGGATTTGTTGCATACTTGAGGAGATTGATATCCATTAAGAATTTTCCCCTATTCCGCCGTCCATTGTCTCTCATTCAAAGAGCTCAAGCAAGCTAAGAGGGCTTTCTTATCTGCGATTTCATCAGTTATAATGGCTAGTAGACTTGCGGATTCTGTGTTTCTTTTTACTGTATGTTTCCCGCCATGGCGTTTTTGTGATCTTTCCTGGTTATGGTACTTATGTTCTTGATTTCTTGTTGTTTTGGTTTGATTATAAGGGGCCCCGTCAGAATTCAGCTCGAACCCGGAAAATTGCTTCCCATTATTCTCCTGGTCTGTTTCAGCATCTTCCTTTTGGGTTTTGAGCCGTTCGATTATTGATAGATTCGATCGTCTAACAGGTATGAAGAGGGAAGTAATGTTTCAGAAGAAAATCAAGCGACAAAACTATGTGCTTCCTGTGAAGAGGGCTGCAATTACACGGGCTGTTGCTGTTCCAGTTGCACCACTGCCTTCTTCAGCAGATAGTGCTGAATATAGAAAAGGATTATCAGAAAGCTATGGATTCGAGAAAATTGGAGAACCTCTTCCTGAAGATGTTAGGTTAAAAGATATTATTGAATCCCTTCCAAAAGAGGTACTTCAATTGCTGCAACATAAGTGTTTAATATCTGTCAAATAAAATTTTGATTGTGCGTCCGTTCATGATTATGTTGAGGATTGTTGGGAGGAAATTAGGGGATGATCATGGGTTTATAGGTAAGGAATACATCTTCATTGGTATGAGGCCTTTTAGGGAAACCGGTTCGGGGTTCCTAACATTGTATCAGAGTCATGCCCTTAACTTAGCCATGTCAATAGAATTCTTTGAGCCTCAAAGGTGTAGTCAAAAGTGATTTAAGTGTCGACATAAGGGTCTATTTTGTTTGAGGGCTTCAGAGAAAGGAGTCGAGCCTCAATTAAGGGGAGGCTGCTTGCTCCATAGGCCTCAGGGGAGGCTCTATAGTGTATTTTGTTCGATGGCTCCACAGAAAGGAGTCAAGCCTCGATTAAGGGGAGGCTGTTTGAGAGCTCCATAGGCCTCAGGGGAGGCTCTATGGTGTATTTTGTTCGAGGGAGGATTGTTGGGAGGGAGGCCCACATTGGCTAATTAAGGGGATAATCATGGGTTTATAAGTAAGGAATACATCTCCACTAGTACGAGGCATTTTGGGGAAACCAAAAGCAAAACCACGAGAGCTTATGTTCAAAGTGGACAATATCATATTATTGTGGAGAATCATGGTTCCTAACCGTTTTCCGTTCTTACGTAACCTAGCTAGTTAGGTAATGTTCATGTATTTTACCTTATTCTTTTCCTTTTTTAAAGGTTTTTGAGATCAATGACGTGAAAGCATGGAAATCTGTCTTAGTATCTGTTGCTTCCTGCGCATTAAGCCTCATCATGATTGCAAAAGCTCCATGGTATCTACTACCTTTGGCTTGGGCATGGACAGGAACTGCAATAACAGGGGTTAGTCTTACTCAAATATTCTTTCTGGTTGCTTCTTTCTTTCATCCTTGTTGGACTTGCAACTCAGGCCACTGAAGTTACTTTCCCCTTCAAGTTCTTTGTTATAGGTCATGATTGTGCCCATAAGTCATTTTCAAGGAACAAGTTAGTGGAAGACATTGTGGGTACTTTGGCTTTTATGCCTCTAATATACCCTTATGAGCCTTGGCGGTTTAAGCATGATCAACATCATGCAAAGACAAACATGTAGTATTAATCTCTCCTCTCCTTCTCTCTCTCTCTTCAAAATCCTTGTTTTAGCTCTATCTTCCTGCATATGTATAGTTCAATATTGTTCCATTCTATAGTAGAAATAAATGTCTTACTAAAGTAGGATAACATTCCATTAACCAATGCAAAAGCCTCGATCAGTAATATCGAGCAGAACAACACGAATAGTGCTAGGTTTGTACACATGACATGTTATTATCTCGACACTGTTAAGCATGCAGCAACTCGTGTGCGTTAGGATCGAGTTAATAGAATTTCTCCATATGTTTTGCATTTTGCCTCGAGTCATTGAAAAACTAAATATAACAACCTAAGCCCACCGCCAGCAGATATTGTCTGTTTTGACCCGTTGCGTATCACCGTCAGTCTCACAGTTTTAAAACTTGTCTACTAGGGAGAGATTTCCACACTCTTATAAGGAATGTTTCGTTCCCCTCTCGAACCAATGTGGGATCTCACACTAAAGATTATGACTAAATACGAATCAATATTTCAGTTTGGCTGGTTAATTACACCTAAAGATTCCTGCCTTTCATCCTTTTTTAGCTAAAGCTCCATTGCTATTCTTATCCACATATGTAGGCTGAAAGAAGATACAGCTTGGCATCCTGTGTGGAAAGAGGAATTTGATTCAGATCCTCTTCTGCGTAAAGCAATCGTATATGGATATGGTCCGTTTCGTCCGTGGATGTCTATAGCTCATTGGTAAGTTACCTTGGATGGTTCCTTTGCAAGAATAACTTGACTTTATACGAAGATCTCTTTCATTCATTAATATGCAACAAGCTGCAACAAGCTGTTGTTGTGCATTACAGGTTGATGTGGCATTTCGATGTGAAAAAGTTCAGACCAAATGAAGTGAAAAGAGTGAAGATAAGCCTAGCTTGCGTTTTTGCGTTTATGTTTATTGGATGGCCATTGATCATCTACAAGGCTGGGATTATCGGATGGGTCAAGTTCTGGTTAATGCCATGGCTTGGCTACCACTTTTGGGTAACATCATTTGCTTGCCTCTTGTTATGAAAGTTTCCTATATGATCAATTTAGCTACTGTTTACTTACTTATAGTTGTGTATCTAAGAAATACCTTTGGTTTTTTGCTTAGATGAGCACTTTCACTATGGTCCATCACACAGCTCCTCATATACCGTTTAAATCTTCAGAAGAGTGGAACGCAGCTCAAGCTCAGCTCAATGGAACAGTGCACTGTGCTTATCCGAAGTGGTATTGAATCATTCATTTTGGTGTTTTTTTTTTTCTTTTCTCTGTTCTCTTCTCTCGCTCAATTCGATACTAAGCGGATAAGGTGCTGTTTGTCACAACTATACTATGAACAGAGTAGGTTGTGACGCCGCTTTGCTTGTCATGACGTGAGAGCCACAACCTACTCTCTTCATAGTATGGTTGTGACTTTCTCCCCCACTTAACTTAGTCATCGTCCTCGATGACTTACTCGGAGCACAATCGTATTGCAGATTGTGACACTATTTAGGCGTATTTCAGTATTTTTTAGTAAGTTTTATAAAAAGTTGTGTTAAAAAAAGTTCCAGTGAGTTGTGTGAGATCCCACATCGGTTGGGGAGGAGAACGAAGCATTCTTTATAAAGATGTGGAAACCTCCCCCTATCAGACACGTTTTAAAACATTGAGGGAAAACCATGAAGGAAAAGTCCAAAAAGGACAATATCTGCTAGTGGTAGGCTTGGGCGATTACAAATGGTATCAAAACCAGACACCGGGCGATGTGTTAGCAAGGAG